CCGAGTTTTATTCAATTTTTACCAGAGTTCCCCAAGTCTTCCTCGTTAAGTGAGGGAAAAGACAAAAGTAGAGAAGGGAAAATTCGCAGTCAGAAAAAAAAATCACATTCGGGATCACACACGACTCCCTACCTCTCACCGACGACAGGCAAACACGACCGCCTCCCTTGTGAGTTCCACAACACATGATGTTCTCTGGCCAGAGTTCTCTGATGGAGGATAAAAATGCTGATTTGAGCATTGGCTGGCCCTACTGTTTAGACTAGATCGCGTTCAAATATCACCATTCTGAGTATGTAAAGAACATGTGGTACGAGAGTTTCGAACGTGGACGTTTTTAACTCTGTCTTGCCTGGACTTAACTTTGGCGGTGTAGGATTTCAACTCCTAGGTTTGAGATCAAGAGGGTGAATTAGACAAACTCTCACGGGTGCATTGAGTCCTTTGTTCCGACTGTAAGTCTTGGCTGCAATATGTAAATTTTTCGGAAACTTCCCTAGCTTTTGCATACGAGCTGCAGCTCAACTAACCAATCGGTCATTACAGGCCTGTACATCGTCATCGCCTGCGGCCGTCTTCACTTTCGTGTCCTCACGATTTACTGGACATCGATCCACTGGACAATGAGGGAGTCTGCGCGTACAAATGTGGAGCCGATGTCATGTTCAGCAGTGAAGAAAAGGTGAGTATTTCGAGCCTTGAAAGGGAGAGGGAGTACCGTTAACTCCGTAGACAGTAGTTACTATGAATTCCGATCAAATGCAGCCACCTCACTCCCTGGGTAAACTCAAAGACAAGAGTATTGCCTCAGTTGAAACTTTGTGTACCCGATTAGGAATCGAGTCTACCAGTCTCATCGCAGTGAAGCTCGTCCCAAACTGAGCGTGGACGCCCAGGGAGAATATTCACGTGACGTGTAAGTGCTGGAAGAAAGCTGTTCTACAGATTAAGCCATCGAAAGAGCTCGGAAAGAGCCCGGTAGCGTAATGCTTAGCGCAACCGCACGGAAAGCGGGAGTTGCGGGTCCGAGTCCCGTACGTGGTCTGTCTTTTGCTCATAACTCAGCACTCGTGTGATAACTTCCGGATCGCGCACTGCGGCGTTAGACAGCAGTTATCAAACCAGAGTATTTGAAGTCTCTCATCGTTTCACAGGCCTATTCCACAACAGTTATTTGGGGGAATATATAGGGGGTCCCAGTCTGGCACCACTCACTAGACCACATAGGAAGAAACCTTTCTAGACTCAGGCGACTCGCTACAAGGACTTAGTTCCGAACGATGAGCTTAATAAGCGTCACTCCTTGTCGCCATGTAGACCACGTCTTTTTAAAAGGACAGTCGTCCCAGTCAGTCATGATTCAACCTATTTTGCGTTCTCCCAACTTCCCCAGTATTGCCCTCTATTCTGACACCAAACAACACCCACGCTTTGACGTACGTCTTCTCGTAGCTGTGTCTGTCCTCATCCGGATTCATGCACAAGTCAGGCTCTTGCGGGAAGCGGGAGCAGTCCAATGGCTCTGGCCATGAGATTCCAAACTCTTCGAGGATTGACGAGCAGTCAGCTTTCACCTGAAATGATATTGGGCATTGTAGGAAATTCTCAAATTTATTTTCCATATTCAGAACTGCGCTCCAACTGGTTTTCTCACGTTTACTACAATATTTGAGTGTACCACCTTTATTGATTTGAATTCAAACGATGAGAATAGTTTTTGTATGTGTGTGGAAAGGAGTTCCATCGGAATCCTACAGCTGTCCCGAAACCTTTTATCGCGGTGTAACTCATTTGCGATTGGCAATGTCCATGCAGTGAGCGATAGTAAACGCAAACAGCAGTCCCTGAAGAAACATGAACCAGGGCAGAGATCAAGACACTCATGACTCTTCAGCATCAGTGTACAGCATCGAAGCGGGTACAATAGCGCCCCCCCCCTCAGATTTCCTTCTTCAGCGCAGCGTACATCTATCACATTACCGCACTTTCCCCTCCCAAAATTTTGGCGTCGTGTTGGGAAAGGGGGAGTAGAAACGCATCCGATCGACTACCAGATCAAAAGCCGAAGGAATTCCGCTGTCATGCCAGTTACGACCCTCTCTCCCAGACCATTGAATAGGACCCCTTTGTTGAATAGCCCTCGAAGTAACCCTCATGGGTTTCGCACAGCGATACTTTACCGTGCTCAGAGCTGCTTCTTTCACAGTAGATTTGCCTTCAAGCGCTTGTACTTCTTCACTTTCCCTCGAATAATGAAGTGGTTTCTCGTAATGCAGTGCATTTTTCAGCGATTTCATGGTGCTTTTTTCTCCTCCTTAGTTTT